ACATTTACAACGAAGTCGTTCTGAATTCCTTGTAGAATTTTCAAGGCGCTGCATAAATATTTTCCATCATCTTTTTTTTCCACCAAACTCAGAGAAATTGGGCTCATTCTGGTAATGTGTGGCATTTCAGCATAACCCGCCTTTATAACAGATGGACGAATCTTCTCCCACGATGTCTGAAAACTCTTGAAAGCGTTCTCCAAGACTTCTCTTTCCATGTCATCACCAATCAGCTCTTCAATTAGCGGTTTGGACGCCTCTTTTCGGCTTTTCCATCTACTTAGCTGCGTGTCGACCATTCTTGCCCAATTAAGAAGATTGTTGAGGTATGTAACTAATTCAATTGAGCCGTGAAAATCTAAAAACAACCCAACAAGGGGATGAGACTCTCTTAAATTCTCCTCTGCCTGCATGTAATAAGAGCGCAAGCTGTCGAGGCTTTTTGTGCTGGTCACACGAAACAAGCGGGGAACATGTGATCTTCTCTCTGATTTATCCATAAACTGGGGGTTGTCGCATTCCTCGATCTGTTTTTCCAGTTGAGACAAAGAATCAGAGTCACGAGGGTTAGTTATCCTCCTCTTCATACCAAACTCACAGACAAGAGGTTATTGTTTTTGAAAACTCTTTTTACTATAAGCGTCTCTTTCCCTCGGTCAGGCAGTGATCCGCATTAGAGACATTGGGTGTCACCTTTTCTATAACACGATGTAAGAGCTTTATGACCTCCTCTTCCTTGCAGTTGAGTAGCTTGGACAAGACGGCAAGATCCTTGATAATGTGCTGGTAAACTGTTCTTTAACAACACGCCCTCCCTCGCCGCTGTAAGCGGCAATGCTACCGAGGAAAGACTCAGCATTCCACAATCCGAGGGCTAGACCTCCATACAATGCCGTATGTAAAAGCAGATGTAGTATACGAAAATCAGTAGGATTCAAGTCCCAAACGCAACTAGAAACGTCTTCTGATTGTGGGAGGACGGTGTAGCCCTTTGTAGCTGAACACGTCTTGCCGTTGCGTCTGTCTGGATGGATCCTGTTCAATTTTAGAATGGTCTGACTGTTTACACTCTGGGCAAGTGATCGAATCTTCAGATCTCTCTCTCACTTCATTCAGTGCAAAAAAATGTGCCACAGGGGCACGAATGAAAATATATTTTTCGCTTGAAATGAACTGTAACACTGGTAAATCCCAAACGGAGAATATGGATTGTTAGCTGCGCCTAAGATAAACGTTTCCTTTACCCTTCTTGGGTTCGCAAGGTAGGATATGAATGCCACAAATTCACTTCTCGTCCCAATATAATTCGAAGCCAACACTATGCAGAGATGGAGTATTAATGCCGCTCGATGTACATCTGCCGATGAACTAGTCGGTGAAATGCAAAGTTCTTGAGCTTGAAAATCCTGCTTTCCAGTAATGCGCTGGAGAAGCCTTCAACATAGGGTCGCGGCAGACCACTTATGCCATTGTTAACACATTCCATTGCTTTTTCTTCAGACTCGCACAGATTACGAACAGACCGTTCCAGATAGATCCATCTTGTTAAGGTAGTCGCAAGCTCAATCTTTTGGTTAGCGGACGTTTGTAAAGATCTAAGTACACGGTGCATTGGCTTTTGGTTTGAATTCTCATCCTGTGTTAAACAAGCCAAAGCTTTTTTGGCCAACGAGTTTTGTGTAATGCCACTCACGAGGGTCGAAACTTAGTTTGCGAACAAATATCTGATCATTTGTGTGGCATTTTAAAGCTTGTACTGCAGTTAAATTTTTACCTTCCCGAATAATTTTTCTCACGGCCTGAAGTGACATTTCTTTTTCGAAGCTCTCGAAGAAAGAACAGTTGTAACTTTGATGTTCTGACAGCTGCAAACTGATTTTCGTTCGAGGAAAGAACTGATTGTACCTCTCTGACAAGCATGGAAAATTGACTGTCACTCCTAAGAACTGTAGGATTTTTTTTCGCTGTAAGTCTAGCAAAAGAGCCAAGAAAAGATCTCAAGTAAGCTGTGGCGCAAACCATCAGAAGTACATTTTCTTCTTTTTCTTTGGAAGGTTTGGTTAAAATCTCTGTCGCAGGGCTGCAAATAACGGCCGGTCAACGGACAAATCTCCGGTCAAAATTGGGTACTGACCGGACAAATCCTTGGTTTGCCGGACATCTTGTCCGGTCTTTTACCGACTCGTTCAAAGAAATTTTAATTTTTTAATGCTTGCTAATCACAAGGGACACAGTCACGTTTCCAAAAGAAAAAAAAGAACCAATATAAAAGTAGACGAATTAGTGGTTGAGAAATTCCCGGCAGTCGCAAATTTCCGCGATGTCATCAAGTCCTGTCGCGACCGCAAATCATCGTGTCTTCCGTTATTTTATTTACTTTATTTAAGTGTTCCCAGTTAGTAGAGGGTTTTACCTTTGGCTAGATACCATCATTTACTCTTAAATAAAGTGACTGATTGTTTGATCGATTGAATGATCGGAAAGCACCCTCACGAAGAATAATCTTGTTGCATCGAGAATACTCCAAGTAGCATTTGTTGCAAAGAGCAAAAAGCCCAAAACCTGAAGAATTCGACTACTCTTTTACTCTAACAAAAATTCACAACTGTAACTTTTAAAAAAAGAGCTCCGAGTGTAGTATTTAATTATAAGTGATTTTGCCAGATGTAAAGTAAAACGGACAATTGCGGTTGTATCTTGCGTAACCGTTCCACGTACTCAATGCGAGGCTACTTCTGCAGTAAAGAGTAGTAAAATTATTGACTTGTAATTTTTATTGCCAGACCGACTTGGATTCAGTTGTTTTTTAGTTGTAAAAGGATTACTGTGCAATCTGGGTTCACTATCGCAAGAGTTCGGACTGTTAAAATTTGACCGGCCAAAAACGGGTAGTGTCCGAGCAAAAGCATGTTTGACCGGACAACGTGACCGGCGACTGCCCGTTAGTTATTTGCAGCCTTGCATTACAACTTTGCTTCATTGAGCTGCGAAAAAAGCTAGTCGTATTTCTATGCCAAAACTTGATCATGAGATGTTTCGTGCCTATTTTGGCGGAAAATTTATAGCGATCCGATTTTTTCGGACCTGGTCCGGGTTTTGTCAATCGGACGCATTCCGATCCAGGTTTTGTCAATCCGATCCGGATTGCGTCCGATCCGGTCCAGGTTTTGTCAATCCGATCCGGTCCAGCTTTTGTAAACGCCCTCGTTCATTGGCTGAGATGTCCATTGTCTGCATATTTTGTCACCATTTAAGTTGGCTAATTTAAAATTTTCAACCGATGGGTAAACTTCAGAATTAGTTTATTAACATTTCCCAAATTTTAATTAACTTTTACTCATGAGAAGTGTGAAGTTTAACCAGCAGCTGCCACAGTGTGTTGCGATGCGTTACATGTTGTCGCTAGCTTATTACACTGATTTCTCTTGGTGTTGGTACACGTACATTTGTGATCTGATAGAGCAAGAACCGCGTCGTGGGATCAGTTGGGAGTTAATATATAATTTTCTACTTTACTTGAAGAATTTTGGACTGCAACCCACGTCAGACCCACCGGTTTAGGTTTTTAGCGAGGACATCCAGCTTCAGCTAAATGGAGACAACATAATACTACTAAAGAAAACGGATTAAAAGTATGCAGTCGCGTATGATTATCGTGGTAGGAACTGCTTGATCTGTAAAGCCATTTATTATATGGCTGTGTCTCGCAAGGACTGGGAACTACCGAATTCACGAGTTTGATTGGCTGAAATCAATATTGAAAGCGGTCTAGATTTTCCCATCTAGACCGGTCTAGGAAAAAAAGGTACAAAGAATATAAAAAAATTGGCATATAAGACACAGCCATATAATAAACATCTTATTAACCGAGCTAGGTCGGTCTGTAAGGGAGAATGTTGCCCTCGGTCGCTGGTACAGACCTCACTGCGTTCGGTCTGTACTGGCGACCTCAGTCAAGATTCTCTCATACAGACCTCCCGCTCGGTTAATAAGAAGTAAGTCTAGCCCCGAGAGCCGTGCATAGCTGTGTATAGCCCTACATAGCCGTGTATAGCAGGGAATAGCCCTGTATAGCTGTGTATATCTGTGTCTAGCCTTGTTTGGCCCTGTACTGTGTATATCTGTATCTAGCCTTGTTTGGCCCTGTAGGTGTTTAGGATATCATAGGTAAAGTAGACATAATAATTCCCCATACATGACGAACATAGGACATAATTTGTATTGAGAACATAATAACTTCCCATACATGACCTACCTACCAAAGTTGACGGGAATTTGAGGAAGGATATAACTGTACTTCAAAAACTATAAATATTTAATTTCTTAAGGCTAAAGAACAAGTGTCAAAATAAGTATTAGAATGAAATATACAAGTGGAACATTTTATTATTATTACCAGTTTTACCAGTTTTAAGGTCTATGCCAAGATCGGAGCTCTGAGACGACTTAAATAGCTTGTCCCAGCTGATATCTCATTAATGCTGTACAAGGCCTATATACTTCCGCACCTTGAATATTGTAGTCCATTATTATTAGGAATTAACAAAACCTTGAACAAGAGACTTGAATCTGCAAACTATTATGCCCTAAAAGTCCTTTTAAATTTTGGAAATAGCTTTGATTATGACTCTATATTGTCTGTTGTAGATATGCAATCACTGGAACACAGACGATATTACCAATCTCTTGTCCTCCTTTTTAAATGTGTAAAAGTTAATGGGCCTGATTACATTTCTGATTTATTCGTACCTCGTATATTGCGCTACAATTTAAGGAACAGCGATCACAATCTCACTCAACCGTCCTACAATAATCGATATTATCACAATTCCTTCACTTATAAGGCTTCGCATATGTGGAATCAGCTTCCCTCTTATATTAAAAGATCAACCGATTTGTGTGAATTTCGCAAGCTTTTAAAATCTTTTAATCTACCAGTCTTGGGAGCCAGTTGTAAATGTAATTATTGTATATCTCAGGATTTTGCTAGAGTTTCCTTGTTTTTTCATTAATTCACTCGGTCGCGGGTGGGTGCAGCTTTCTAAATTATCCTAATGTAGGTGTTTGTATTTTAATTGACTTCTTAATTGTATCGTTTTTAACTTCGTATTTTATTGTCATACGTTTAATACGTGAGCCTCTGGCTCGGATGACCGGGGCAACCTCATCCTACGTTTTGACATTAATAAATTGATTGATTGATTGATTACCAGCAGTAATAAGTGCCATTTTTTAAAAAAAATACATTAAAAAGTATTCTAAATCTATAATGACACAACACTTTTGTGTATTAAATCATTAAAAGCAATTCTCCGAGAAAGTGAAGAAAGGTTGGAAATGAAAATTTTTAACCCCACTTCAATTTCAGTGTGGAGGTAGGTTACCTAGGGGGATAAACAAAAACAGCGATATTTGGATCAGTAGATTATCGTTTCCATGGCAACTGCACTAGTTGATGTCAGCCTCAGGACCATGTTTGGTGCAAAAGTTCCACTTTCAAAAAGTAAAAGTAAACAAGTCTGGTTCCTGGATGCACGAGAACCAATTCAAATTATATTCATACAGATGGTAGAGCCACTCTCCCAGTTTATAAAATTTGCCCTTAAAATATTTTGGGTTTTATCAACAAGAAGAAAATGCTCATCTTTAACTATGTTCCCTGTCAGCCATTTAGACAAGCAGGAAAAACAAGCACAACCAGATTTGTAATTTCTCCAAAAGTACTCTTTCCACAAGTAAACCAAATTAGCAGCAAAGATTACACAGATATTGACACTTCTAAATATCATAAAATCAACTTGGGGAAAATTATATTCTGGCCATGGGTGTTGAAGACACCTGGGGCAAATTGCAAAAAAATGGCAAAATTGGTAATTTAGAGGGCTCTAGTATTTGGCTCAAACAGGCTTTAGACAAAATCAGCTTCAAAAGTATCTTTTATCATCTTGTCTGTTACCTACATTGAGTTGATAAGGTCTTGGCCAACGAATTTAACGAAATATAAATTGATACAAAACCTACCTTGAAGAGTACCTCTACCATTTGTATGAATTTCATGTAAATTGGTTCACATGCACCCGTGAACCAGACTCGTTTATTTTTACTTCTTGAGAGTGAATTTTTTGTTCAAAACACAAACCTCAGGCCCACATGATCAAGTGTGGTTACCATGGCAATGACAAACCTGCTGTTCCAAATATGGCTGTTTTTGTTCATCCCCCCAAGTAACCTACCTCTGCACAAAAAATGAAGGAGGGTTAAAAATTTTCATTTCCAACTTTGCTTCACTTTCTTGGAGAATTGCTCTTAAACGTTTTCAGGCTTTTCTTTTCCCTGCATCAGTAATCTCTTTTTCCTGAAATAAGAAAACAAAATATATTTATAACAATATTATAAAAAATTTTCTTGTTCTTGCTTTATCACAACATAGTTCTGGTGCAATTCCTTCAAAAAATTGCTAAAGCAACATTCAAGTAATAAATCAGATTCTTTTCAGCAGTGCTTTCTTGTTTCAACTATCTCACACTACATCATGAATTTCCAGACAAAATGCACAGAAGGAAGTGTATAGAGGACTATAATGTCATCAAAACCTTACAATCATAATTCTCCTATGAATATAACCTGCTAGAATAGTTGACACTGCACAATTTGTAAAGATGTTCCTGGTAAAAGAATCGATTTTCTCAATTAACTAATTAATCATCAATAATGAATTAAAATACTTCATACACACCTCCAAAGGTAAATGTTAAATACAATTGAAATCACCAGTATTACTAACATTAATGCCAGTATTACAAAAAGAACGATTGGAGTACCTGTGAAAAAGATTAAAATCAATGCACTAAAGATGTAGTCCAACCACTATACAAGAAAGTGTAAACCAAAAGAGAGTTAACTGATTGCTAGGCTGCCCATACAGAACCAAATTCAACCATGAACATGGTGTTTGCTGTTCTCAACATGTTGGCTAAAAAATGAAATATGAATTTTGTATCACTGATATTTCAGTGCCAGTGAATAACCTTTCATAGGAGTCAAGTGAATGTACCAAACTATTCTAACTTCCACACACAACCCACAATTCCTCTATTCACTCTGACGAAGGGCTAACGCTCGAAACGTCAGCTTTTGTAATCGTTACGGTGGCCAATTTACCATTTCAACTTTGTTGATATATCCAAATTATTCTAACTTCCATTTCATGATCTTCAAAGCCTTGCTTGCAAAGAATCAAAACCACCACAAGTTTGAATTTACT